AGCATGGTGCGCTACTAGAGCTCTTAGAAAGGGCGCCTAACACAGACTGGGGGTGAGGTGGGGACAGGTGGCATGGGAAACCAACTGGTCACAGGGGGAGACTCCCACAAAGGAACACGTGTGAGCTCAATTCTCAGAGTGGGAGTTAACTGAGTGGGAATGGAAGGGAAGGGTCCCTGAATGGAAGGGAAGGGTCTCTAGGCTGAGGGGAACCCACAAATTGCCCTCGAGATCTGGGAGGGCACGGTGGAACCACCGATACCCAGGCTGACTGGTGACCAGAGTGATACGTGGGGAGGACAGAAAGACCTGACAGACTGACAGGAGTTAACACCTGAGGGGTCTATTTTTCTTTACTAAGAAGGTGTGGGTTTCTTCCCCCTTGGAGGACATGGGATTTTATGGAATTGACTAACATGAGATATGCCTATTTTGGCAAAAGAGGAACACGGATTGAGACGGGGGTATGAGAAAAAGGAAAAAAATTACCAGAGTCAGGAAGACTGATTAGAAAGGTCTAGAGAGGTTATAGGGGTCTGAGCTAAGGCAATACCAGAAGGGATGAAAAAGAACAATTAAAATTAATAAGGTTTTATGAAAACTCGCATACTACAACCCGAGGAAAAGAGACGCATTGAGAACGTCACGTTTTCAGCGTAGGGTTAGGTGAACGGTGGTTCTTGAGAGACGGAACAGGGAGAAAAGCAAGTTAGAAAGTGGGCGGAGGTTTTCAGCATTCAAATACGGAGGTTGAAGTATTTGCAAAACTTCAATATAACCAACATACAAACATCTAGTAGACCAGTGGACACAGAGGCCTTAAATTCACGAGCGTAACTTTTGTGAGAACTGTAGAATTCAGTGGTTTTTAGCTTTCATTAGGAGTCAAAGCCAGTACTTGAGGCTTTCAGGGGAGACTGTGGCGTTGCAAGTGCAAAGAGCAGTGGATGAATGCAAAGAAACATCACAGTTAAAAGCGGGCAGGAGGGAGAGGGGACCTGGAGCGGAACACAAACCCTGGACTTCTTTCCTGTGTCTTTTCCGTGTTATCCATGCTAAAGGAAAGCCTGCCTGTAATTTCGCATGACTGAACTCTGAAATGAGTTGGAACTTGCTGGTATGGCAGAATTCTAAAAAGTGCAACACTCCAACTTAAACTCTTCCCACTACTTGACTAAAGGTACAAGATTTTCTCAGTGGGTAAATCTGTAGAGAATTACGTCCAAGTTATCCATGAGGTCATAATGTGCATTAGCTTTTTTTTTTT